AACCCTCATTCCTTTTATAGACAGGCTTGGAAAGAGAGTAGTCAAGAATAGACCATGTTCGGTTCCCTACCTCTCATTTCCTTCTTGATCCACAGTAACCTGGTGCCCTCTTTCACTGAAGTTACCACAAGTCACGAATGACTATCTGCCAAATTCAGAAAACAAACCCTTTATCTGACTGGCTCCTACTTCCCAACTTTTACTACTTCCTACTTCTTAAAACCCATTAATATAAATTCTTTGGCATTACCTGGCAAAGATTTCTAGAGAAGTGAAGAACTTAGAGTAAGGCCTAGAAAACTTACAAAATATTTACAATTAAAAAATATTATTTTAAATTTATAAACTGAATTTAATTATAAATTGAAATTTATAAAAGTAATACATATTTATTATAGAAAATTTAGAAAATTATTTCTTTGAGGCACTATAATATAATAAGGTTAAATGCTTGGGCTTTAGAATCTTACTGTCTGGATTCAAATCATGTACTTCTGGCTCTGACTTTGGTCAAGTTATGTGTGTAACTTCTCTGAGTTTCTCCTTTTTGTAAAATAGGGATAATAACAGTAGTTGCCTTATGGAATTGTAAGGGTCAAACAGGAGAAAATTTATATAAAATACAGGTTACAGACCTACCACAAAATAAGTGCTCAGAAAATGTTGGACATCACACTTTTTCCTCAAAACTAATTCAGCCAAATTTCACCTTTCCTTGATGCCCAGATGTCATTATAAACGTCAATTACTTTACTCTTTCTTTACAAGAAAGCCCTCAGGGTTATTGTAAGATGTGTGTATGGAAGGTGAGGTTTCACTCTTGACTCTAGTGTTTCAGGGTTAGATTTTATGGAATTGTATCTCTATTCTGGCTGCCATTTTGGCTGTTGACTCTCATCTAGTAAACTTCTCTGCTAGGAGCCAGTAACTTTGATAGAATTGTGTATTGGAAATAGGCTGTAATTGAGTGCTGGAGGTTTTTTCCAAGAACTCCATGGAACTTTTAATGGGAGGAGAGAAGGAAGGACAAAAAAGCAGTGGACTTAGAATATTTTGGCTAAAGGGCCGTATTCCGACCTTACATTCCTTTAGAGCTTTGCCCTTGTCAAAGAATTTGTACGTCTCTTATCTCAAGTAAGACAAATCCAGGGTTAAGAAGAGCAAGCCCTCTGTTTAAATTGTTATTATTTATCTTACAGATGAGAAAGGGAAATGAGAGTAGAGTAAGGGCCTAGATTGCAGACGTAGTTTCTTAGCAACACAATCTGGACTAGAATCCAGGTCTCCAACCCAGGAGGTGCTAACTCCTGGTGCCTTGGCTCAGTAGGTGAACATCCTATATGTAGGAGATGGTATTGTCCTTTTTTAAAGGGGTATCCCCATTTTCCTTATAAGGTGACCTATGTGCTGGTAGTGGTCTTCTTTATGACCAGTCTCATCCCATAAACCTCCCACTAACAGAAATAGCATCTCTCTTCATTGCTCTGGCCCATAGGCAGGTTCAGAAACCAGACGTGTTGTCCTTATTGGTCCAGGCCCTCGTGTGCTACTTTCCCAGGCTCCTGGGATTTTCCAACAGGGAGAGAAGGTGCTTGGCATGGGCATGGGTACTTCCTGCTGGATTGTGCTGACTCTTTTAGGCAGATGCCTTGTAATTGTACTTCTGTCTAGGCTCAGATTCCATTGTGCTTTCTGAGTTAAATCTCCACTGTTCTCCCCCTTGGGCACATTGGAACATAATGTTGGAGGGCATTAAAAGGTAAAAAGGAACTTTCAACACTGCACAATGAGTGTATTACAAGAACTTGATAAACGTTAATTCCACTGTTGCAAAGAGTTTATAAGGACCTAGTTAAAGTGTGAGTTCACAGCTTGCAAATCAGAGGGAACTGATATTCCTAATTTATTTCATACATTAAAAAGGAAATCTTGGGAGGCTGGCCCCGTGGTATAGCAGTTAAGTTCACGGGCTCCTTTTTGGCAGCTTGGGGTTCACCGGTTCGGATCCACACACCACTTATCAAGCCATGCTGTGGCAGCATCCTACATATAAAACAGAGGAAGATGAGCACAGATATTAGCCCAGGGCCTATCTTCCTCAGCAAAAAAGAGGATTGGCGGTGGATGTTAGCTCAGGGTTAATCTTCCTCAAGAAGAAAAGAAAAATGAAGTCTCAGGGGCCGGTGAAGTCTCAGGGGCCAGCCCAGTGGTATAGTGGTTAAGTCTGTGTGCTTCACTTTGGCAGCCCAGGGTTTGCTGGTTCAGATCCTGGGTGTGAACTGACACATGGCTCATCAAGCCATGTTGTGATGGCATCCCACATGCAAAAAACAGAGGAAGATTGGCACAGATGTTAGCTCAGGGACAATTTTCCTCAAGCTAAAAGAGGAAGATTGGCAACAGATGTTAGCTCAGGGACAGTCTTCCTCACCAAAAAACCAAAAATGAAGTCCCAACAGTTTTAAACTTAGGCAGGTTAGCACTTAGAAAAAGGATCCCAGGCCCCTCTGTGTAAATCTGACAGAAATAAAACTATGTTTATAGGTTCAGCTTTGATACAAACATTTGTCTCAGATGGGGAGTCATATGCAATGAGAGGAGGCTTATGTCCTCTTTTGTGCTTCCCTGAGGACACACTATGTGAAGAAAGCACTGATGAAAGAGTCTGTTTAAGGGCAAGAAGAATGAATGATTGCATCTTTAAATTGACAAATCTGATCGTTACTCCCCTGCTTAAAAATCTCCTGTTGCATTCTCTTCACAGGATGGTATCTGGATACCTCAGTAGGCCACACTCAGGGTCCTCAAATGGCTGCAGTTTGTCAGGCTTTTCTGCATTGCCTCAGTAGTCTTCCCTTGTCACTGCCTGATAGACAACCTCATTCATATAGACCCAGCTTCATCTTTGCCAGCCTTCACCCCAAAATTGCTCTCTCCTCTGCACTCAGGGCAATTTGTTTACTTACCTCTGTAAGAGCAGGTGTCAACACATTATAATAAATCCATAATGCTACCATTAGAGAAAGATGGGAATTAAATTTTTCATCTTTAGAGCCTTTCTAGTGCCTAGCAGTCAGCCAGTTAAGTTTGCTAGCTGGTTTACTACATGAGAAGTCCCTCAGAGTACTATTAGTTAATCATCCCAAGTTCTCCTGCCTTGCCTCTTAACATAAGTTCTGCTATTCCTGATTATTTCCATTTTAGAAGTGATTTGCTTCCTTTTCTATCCAGGCAGCATAATTCGTTGTATGAGGCGTCTGGAAGAACTACTTCGACAGATGTGTCAAGCAGCAAAAGCCATTGGAAACACTGAGCTGGAAAATAAATTTGCAGAAGGTCAGTATCCAGTCTGTAACCTTCTTCTAGTCATTTAGGCAAATCTTGTGAGACTTGAGCTCTTGACCACAATCTAGGGGGAAATTTTCAGATGCTCTTCACTGGATTGCTGTGAAGGGCCCCTCTAGTAGTGTTCAAATAAAATTTTAAAAAGAGGGTCTGTGTAGGAAAAAGTTTTGAGATTTTATATATATTCATTTACAAATATTTATTGTACACTTACTATGTGCCAGGCATTGTTTTTAGAACTAGGAGATAACGGCAGTGAAGAAAAAGACACAAATGCCTGCCTTCACGGAGCTTACATTCTAGCGTGGGGAGATGGACAATAAGCAAGTCAATAATTGAAATATATCAGGTGGTGGTAAGTCTACAGAAGAAAACAAAGGAAGAGACAATAAGTAATTTGGGCACTGGATGAGATGGCCTAGGGGCCTCCACTCAGAAGGTGGCATTTAAGCCTTTCATATGCTTGACATACTTGAGCAACAGCAAGAGGCCAGTGTGGCAGGAGCAAGGTGAGCAATGAGTAGAATAGTAGGGGATGGGAGAGAAAAGAAATGATCATGTAGCTCCCAGCCCTTGGCTTTTCCCTTTGAATGACTGGAGGTTTTGAGCACAGGAGTGGTGTGCTCTGACTTGGATTTTTCAAGGCAATTCTTGCTGCTGCATTGTAGGCAAGTCTGTAGAGTAGCAAGGTGGAAGCAGGAAGACCAGACCAAGAAAAGGTGGCTAGACCAAGGTGGTAGTAATGGTGAGGGGGTGGGGGGGTGGGGGACACAACACGGGACATTCATGCTTGTAAATAGTTTCGTTTTATGTGAATATTGGCCATGAAAAAGAACTATGAGTTAAACCATCAAAGAATAGCAGTCACATTGTTGCTCTGAGTTGGTTGCTCACAGTCAACCTTAGTGATTTCTGCTAATAACTCAGTGTCCTAAGTGTTTCCATGTTGTTGATAGAGGTAGACCTATTTAATCACTCAGAGTTTAAGCCTAGTTATGTAAACTTCTTAAATAGTAAGATTTTTGTCCTGCCTTAGTCCAGAAAGAATTTCGTATGGTAACTGAAAATATAGTGTCTTCCAATGTAGGTTGAAAATTCATGCTTTTGAGTCAACTAACTTCTTTTGACAGCTTAGTCCTTCCCTAGATAAGTCTTTTTGAATAGTTTTAGCCCCTCCTACCCCCACCCCCCCACACACATATAGGATACTTTAGAGTCAAGAGCCATAAGAACAGGGGTCTGGTTTGTAAGTTTCCTACGTCTCAGATGTGGCTGTGAGCTCCTCTAGGTATCCTTCAGACCAGCAAGGTTTTGTATTTTCCAGGCTGCTCTCACCAATTTAATCAGAATTGTTATCCTGTCTTTAAAACCCCAGTAGAGGGGAATTATGCTCTTTGTGGTCTTGAAAGTTTAAATCATATTTTCTTTTCTTTTAGGAATCACCAAAATCAAGAGAGATATTGTGTTTGCTGCCAGCCTCTACTTATAATGAGTCAGCTAAAAGAATGTGGGGGTTTAAGTTGTTCACCACCTGTCTGATTACATTTAACTACAAATGCTTGCAAGTATTGATTTGGTTCTCCCATCTCAAGACAGTTGTCCTCAAACGTTTTAATATGTATTATATTTAAATCAAGCATCATTCTACATACACGTTTGTACGTAAGCATTACATTTTTTTAATAAAAAATGTACAGGTGGGGGGCATTGTTTTAGTGAAAGGCTTGAAATTCTTTTAATGAATTTAGAGCTGTCAGATAACCATTGTGTTAAATGTAACTATATACACACAGGTAAAGTGGGCATCCAAGAGGTATAGCAGCAGCAGTCCCTTAAAGGTTTATACACCGGGAAGAAAGACGCATCCTCTTGCCTTCTGGTTGCAATCATTTTCCTTTAGAAAGCAGGCCAGCTTCATCTGGACACTCTGCCACCTTCAAGGTTGGTGATTGTTCCGATAGTGATTTCCCGTCGTCGGTGTTTCATGCAGAGTTGTATGAGAGTCCTCCTCTTTTCTTTCTTTAAAAGGAGAATTTCTCTCCTTGAAGAAATCTGATACATATACAGCCTGTATAGAATAGGTTATACTTAGAATGAGGCAAAGTATTTAATGATATAATTTAAATAAGTTTAAAAACTATATTAAAAAATTGCAATAAGCAGTTTGCAAAAATAAATATAAACAAAGAAGGATATAGATTATGGGGTACAGATTAAGGGTACAAAAAATTAGTGGCTGACAATTTTTGTTAAGAGATTCTTTCAAATTGAGAGTTGCTTTGTTATCTCTTGAGCACAGTTATGCTTCATGTAAATTTTTTTTTCAATTCATACCAAAAAAACTTAGTCAGAGCCTTTTATAGTAAAAATATGTAGTAGGACTTTCATAACTTTTGCAAAGAGTAACCTAAAAAGTTTTTATCTGAAAAGACTAACAGTGGGGTTCCTACCCAGTAGCAATTATTGAGCCACAGTCCCTGCCTTTGCGTAGTTTTCTCATTGGGAAACTTTTTCTACTTATTTATCCAAGTGTTTATCAGTATCAAAATGTAGGCTGCTGCCCTGTATACTTACAACTAATATTGCAACCAGAGCTCCTTGAATGAGTCCGGTTAACACATCACTCCAGTGGTGTTTGTAATCGGAAACTCGAGAAAGGCCCACGTAAATGGAAACAGCAACAAGACCGAACTGCAGTGTGGGGCGCAGGAGTCTTGCCCAGTCTCCCTTCATCCTGGCTTGAAGATAGAGCTAACAGAAAAGATAAGAATAAAGAAAAGATTTTAACATACCAACTGGAAATTATATTTTATATTAAGTATCACTACACCTCTAAAGCACTGGTGTTTAAAAAGTTAATCCTTTAACTTTTAAAACAAACAAAAAAAAACTATTGCCCCAGTAACTTGTGTTTAGAAGAAATTTATTACCTATCTAACTAGACTACCCTTCAAATTTTAAACAAGGCAAGGGTTTCCATGTCTGTGACTTCCTAGAATTTGGGGGCAGCTTCTCCACTTCCAATTTGTGTTAACAATCCTGATTCAAAGATAAGTGTTGTCATTAGTTCTGAGTATTGGGATAACCTCCTACCATTCCGAGGACACGTTGCCCTTACCCTGGGCCAGGCTACTGTGTTTTCTGCCCAGCCTATCTAGGGAATAAGTTTGCTTAATTCACTGAAAATTCACTTGAGAGCTCCTCTAGCCTCAAATTACTTAACAGGGCAACTGAGACTAAATAAATAGTCTGTAGGTAGATTATTCTATTTTATAAATAAACAAGTAAAACAGATTGTGTAGTTTTAGTCGTGATCTAGCAAAGGAGTCTCATTCTTTCAGTAGCACCCCTACCCTTTAAGTTCTATGACTTCTCCATTCACTAATCAGACCTCTTCCATTGTCAGCTTGCCTTTTGACTTTGGATGCATTCCTAAAGATGGTTTTGTAAAAGGAATTTGGATAGTTTTCCTATGAACTCCTTTCGGCAAATCTGGTCTCATTAAAAAAAAATTTTTCGGCCCACTTTCTATCCAGTAAGAATATACTTTTTAACATTCATTTTTAAGATTCTGTTCAATAATTTATGATTCATATACTTTAAATGCAGTCTTCAGAAAATTTATGTGGCTGTGCCCATTGGTGCTGCCTATTTAAAATAGATACACAAATCCATTCCCAGTTCTTTGAGCACTGCTGTGAGTGTTCTGTTCTCAGCAGCTGGCAAAGACCCAGAGGTTATCTAATTTTATCATGTACTCAGTATAAACATTTAGTTCTAAAAGAGCATACCAGTTCTGTGTAACAGAGTCGAACTCATTAGCTGGTTTAAGTGCTACTGGCTTTCTGCAGCGCCCCCTCCCCCTTTTTTGTTGGTTATTGAAACTATACAAAAGCAAACAGTAAGAAGCTTGTGTCAAGAGTCTGGAATGGGGGAGATAGTTGGTTCTGGTTGAAACAAAGTTGGCATCTGACAACTGAAGCCAATTAGGTAACAATCATGCCAGATAAGATTCACCTCATTAGTTCTATTTTAATTGGAAACTTTTTATTCATTTTAAGGAGAACAGTTCCTTGCCTGGGGCTGAAGCCACTTTTTTGATATTACTGTCAAAAAGCTCAGCTGTCTCCTTCCTGCTTATTTAGTTGCCTTTTCATACAATGGGTTATTCAGACTCCAAAAATTTATACCTAGGAATCACAGATACTTAGATGAATGCAGACAGCTTAGGGAGAAGTCCATTGCTGCTAAGGACATAGCAAGAAAAATATAACTCTAAAGGGACTTAAGCTAGTCCTAGTTTTGGTACTTCCAACCTAAAGGAAACTCAAGAGACAGGACTTTTGAGGTCCTTCCTCACTTGGGATTCTAAAATCCCTCTAACAATATTTTCCTGCCAGAGAACCCTGACTTTGACTTAGGTAGCTACAGACATATGTTAAGTATTTATTTTGCCCAAATTTCTTCCTCCTCAGCATCCCTGTGAAAAGTCACTTAGGGATCAGTAATCAAATAAGCTCCAGTATACTCTGGGTGAAACCTTTACGCCTCCAAGTAGCTAGTTTCTCCTTACACATCTACCCAAGTATAGATGTTTCCCCCATCTGTGTGGACCCAGAGATTATTTCACCCTGAGGTGTTTCTGGAATTCCCCGATTGTGATTATACACCTAACCTTACACTCTGCTCTAGGCTCTGGTTCTTCTGGTGACTAATGGCCATGGCTTGAGTGCAGGCTGTGGTCACTGAACAACTCTCAGCTCTGGGAGACGTTGGCTAACTGAGTGTGCTTCGTATTTGCCTACTTTGTGTTTCCCTGAGTCCAGGGTACTCATTGTAGCTCTGCACAGGCCAGGCACTACGTATAGCCCTGGTCTTCCCCGTGAAGACTCTTCCATTTCAGTAGACCCCAAGGAGGTAAACACATTGAGTTTCTTGGACCTTGGGTCACCTGAGTTCCACAGTTGACATGTCCAGAACTCTGTACTTTGACAACTCCCCTCTCATGTTGCCAGTCAAAAGTATTTCCTATAGAAGCAGCTACAACAAAGCACACAATGCTGTCTTTCCAGTGGCTCCATTTCCTCAGCCTTTCCCAGGTTCTGCAGTGCAAATCTTTAAGTTCCCACCCTCTGGAGGCACTAGAGATTGGGCTTCCTCTACCATTCCTTTGACCACTTTCCAAAATCGTTACCTTTTGCTTATTGTCTCCTTTTCCTTTCTTTGACTTTGTGGGTTTATAACTTTATTATATTCCTTGTCTTTTGAGATGGGAGAAGTAAAGTATGTGTTCCTTTAAAAAGAAGTTTCTGATCCTCCATCTTTCCCTAACTGCATCAGAGAAATTGAATGTATGAAGCTTCTCGGCATTGTCCTATTAGAACTAGATATGGGGATACAGCTCATGCTTTAATGCCAGAGCTAAGAAGAAAAAGGCTGTGTAGGTCCCCACCTTTGCAACCTCCATTCTTCCCCACTCCCCACACAGGCATATGTTAATCGTGTATGCACTAAAGCCATTCATGGTAAGCCATTCGGTTGCTTATCTCTTAAGATTCAAAAGAACTTACAGAACTCCATATCCAGTATTGCGTATGGTACCAGACAGGCTCAGCAGCAGTGTCTACAACTTTCAGATTCCCCTTCTGGAGGAAACTGCCCATCCACAGGCACAATTGAATGGGTAGCCCTATTTGGACCACATAGCCCTGCCTTCTCTTCTGGGAGGGCACTGACAAGATGACTTATGACATACCTGAACCAGAGATCTGCTGGGCTGTATTCTCTCTGGAATTTATATTGGAAGTATCAAGGAGTTCTCCATTTTCAGAAGTTATAGAAAGGGCACCTAATACATACACGATAGGCTACTTGCAAACCAAAGTTATGAGGAAGCAAAAGCTGTGTGTAGGCCAGGAGAGCAAGCAATTTGGTAGAGGAAAGAATGGAGCAGAGTGGCAGCCATACTGTGAAAATTCAAGTGGCCAATGAGACACGTGAAGAAAGTTCAGTTCCTGGTAGTGTGTGCTAGTCCTAATCCATGTATATCTTTACTATAAACCATCTTTTTCTCTAGGAAGTGTGAGTGAGTCAGCTGTTTTCAAACAAAAGACAGAAAAGCCAATTAACAGCCTCCTCTATGTGTTTAACCCAAATTCTGTTTTTTGTTTTTTTTAATTTGGATTTCTGTGATTCAAATGATAGAGAATTTTACTTTTTAAAAGTAAAAAGTACTTCCTTCGATTGAGAAGGAAAACAGTCTGTATGTACCTGGGTTTTAAAACATTGAGAAAAACTTAGAAAAATAAAATCCTATCAGAGCAAACATCCTGAATGTCCACTGAAGGCGCCATTATAAGAGAACTGTGACACTGGGCATGGGATTTACTTTAATGACTTTTTTCTACAAACACTACGAGAGAGAGTCCCTAAACCAAATGGCTCATCTGTCTGGTCCCTCTCTTTCTGTCACTCTCTCCTCTCAGATTCTTCTCTGAACACGCTTCAGTTTGGCCTAGCCAACTGACTTGTCCATTGAGTATTTCAGTCAACTGGGGGACGGTGGCGGGGTGGCATGAGATACTACTTGATGAAAGATTCTCGCCTCTGGATCCCTCCCAATCCTAACTGCCAACTTTCTGGTGAAGGAAGCTCTAAAGTAGAAAGTTCACAACTAGAAATAAGAGACAGGCTGGAAAAGGCAAAACAGAAGCAATAAACTGCAGCGCCACAGAGGCCAAGGCTTTATACCTTATACTGAAGGCTTCATGAAGCCCCAGTACAGGACAGCAAAGGGAACAAGGACGAAAACAAATGCAGCTGGCAGGGTTCCAATCATGGCAAGGAGGTTTTGTAACTAGAGCAATCCACAAAACTCGCCAGCGGCAGACTTCCTGGTTGAGGTAAAGAGGCAGGTGAAAAAGAGGGCCTAATCCAGGGACTTAAGCTGAGGGGAAGTAGCTGAGTTTTTAAGAGGAGAAGCAAAGAGTCAGCCCAGGACAGAGAGAATGGATGGGGGAGAATCCCCAGTTAACTGCACAGACCAAAAAGGCTTTGCTTACTTAGAAAAGACTACCTCCTATGCCTACCTCTGCCCACAAATTTGAACACTGTCCTGAAATATTTAAGAGAACAATCATGTTTATAAATTCAGCCTGCCACTAGTGTCACCCTATTGTAGCATACAGGAAAAGGCAAGAGGCATGTGGCCTACAGGAAACCCAAACTGGGAATGAAGAAGAGTTAATGGGAAAAACAAGGATAACAGCATACACTTCATCAACCTTGATACTCCTCCCTCCTCCAGTTTTCATCTAATAAAAGGGGCAAGATAGACAAATACCACAGGACGATGTGATACGGAGAGGGAGTCAACCTCAAGGCCTCAGAAGAAAACCACAGTGTGGCCTATCGCGATTCCTCCCTGTCTCTACTAGGAGAAACTGTTTGAACCTGACCAGACAGGGATTCAAATCAAGAGCTCAGAGCAAATCACATCCAACCACTGACTGTGCATAGCCCAGTTTTAGAAAGCACAAACTAGTTTGAGAAGTCACCTTAGGAATCCACCAGTGTCCTCCAGGAATGTCCTCATTGAAACTAGCCATCACTACTAGCCCTTGTGATAAGGAAGGTTCCAGGTGTAGTTTTTGCCTCTAAGAAGAGCAGAGAGCAAGGGAAAACCCCAGGTCAATCTTACTGCTCGGTGCAGGGTCAAGTGTCCACTCACTTCGGTAGAAGCAAAGTAAAACCTTCTACTGAAAATGGGTTGGAAATAAGCTACTATGTCCAATATTTTTAAAGAAAATATTTTAAAGAAATAAAAGCGCCTTAGCTGGGATATTACCAGAGATTCATAAAAGCAATTTCTTACTCCTTGAAGCAATAAGGACAAAAGGGGTCGATTTGCTCAAAATAACCAGATACTCAAGCCCAGGGAGGAAGGCTGTAGGAAGAAGCCCCACCATGCAGGCGGCAAATGCTTCACTGCCAGATGCACACCTTCCTCCTAACCGTGGAGAATCTTGACATGACACTTGTGGACCACTTGATGAAGAGCGTCACAATAGTCTTATGGGGTATACAGAGAAGACCTGGTCAAAATAAACAGGGAGGACTTTTCATTGCACTGAGCCACACTGGAAAAAAATAACGTATATACACTTTTCCTTTTGTGTAAAAAATAATTACATATTCTTTTAAGTAAGGAAATTCAGTGTCTGTGACACTGCTTTGGCATTCTCTCATTACTTTTATCAAAGGGTAGGATATAATCTTTTTGCCCAAAATTTCTGAAAAAACATTTAGCTTCCATTAAAGGATCTAACTGTACTATCTCACCTTTAAAATCTGATTGTTAAACAAGATATTTTTTGAAGTTGGTTTTATTTTTATTTTGCCTTACCTTGACTGACCCTGTAACACTTAACTGAAAAATGCTGTTGTCTCATGAAGTCTCTTAATACTCTGTTCTTAAAAATAGGGGTTTTTTTTTCGTTTTCAACTAGAGTCAAGGGGTTGCTTGTGAACTAAGAATGGTTTTCACATTATTAAAGCTTTATTTAAAGAAAATATACAACTGAGACTGTATGTGGCCTACAAAGCCTCAATATTATCTGATCTTTTACTGAAAAAACCTGCCAAGCCCTGAACTAGACTAACTATAGCATGCTCAACACAAAGAAACATAGGTTGGTCGACTTATTTTCAAACACTGCTTCTAAGACCAAGCCAGGCAAACCAATGTATCGTTCCACCTACATCTGATGACAGATGAACACTGTAAGGCAGGCCTCAGTTTAGTCATCTCTAGACTTCAATTTTACCATCTTCAGGATTCAGAGTTCTTAAACTTAGATCTCGAATCCCACCTTAAAATGACTTGTTCATTTGCCCAATGCTTAGCATTAATCCACACTTTGGGAAATATCTTCATGAAATATCAACGATGCTAGGCAGTGTATGGTCAATGCCAGATGAGCGATTATACAAATCCTGAGGAAAGTGAGTGGTGTCAAAGAGTCTGAGGAAGACTGAGATGGCAGGCAGCACTGTCCAAACACAGAGGAGGGGGCAAGGGCCAGATACGAGGCATCCTGTGGCAGGGAGGGGAGTCTAGCTGAAGCAAAAACACTGAGAGGTGCTTGGGCCCCCACAATAGTAATTTACACAGGAATTTCATAACAGGCAGTAATATAACCAGTCTGGGATTTCAGCCTCAATAGGATGGTGCTGGTTAAAGTGTTTTAGTATATTCCTCACTGTACTGAACAAAGGACAGTCTCACACCATGCCTCTTTCCCTGAACAACCAAGTGAATTTGGAATCTTGGGCATTCACCCAAATTCAGGGGGAGTCACTAAGCACACGAACTGGCCATGTGCAAAGAAGACAGCCTAGGTGGTTCTCACAGGGGCCGACTCTCCTGGCACTGTGAAGTGTGCAGGGCTGGGCTGCCTGCCAGGAGAACAACAATGGTCAGGGTATTTTCTTTAAGAGATGTTTTTAACTAGAAGTTAATTTCTGGGTGTCCGAAATTCTTGACAGGGAAGTTTTGGCTATCAAAGACTGTCTTCAGAGAGGATTTAAATGACTACATCTCCACCCAAATCTGGGACTAACCTATGATGCCAAGATGCCTAGGGAAAGGATGAGTCATCGCCTAGGGAATTTTCTTCAGGGGGGAGGCTGGTGGTGGTGAAGTGTTGTACATAAATGTGAAAAGCTGGAAAGCAAGAAGACATCTGTGTATTCAGGGGCTGAAATAAAAGCTGGGGCCTACACTCACATCAAGTAAATATTTCCACTGCTTACAGTCAGTGAAAGGCAGTGCATGGTTGCACTGGTCTTTCTGCTGCAGAAAGGCCTGGGTCTATGACAAACCTATTTATCTAAATTTGTTTTTCCATTATAACTTTACATCTGAATGGCTTATACTGACCCAATTACCAAACTACAGTAAGGTAATCTTCCCTCTGCTTATATCCCTAATTTGCCTCCTCATATGCTCCTGGGTGTCCACAGAGCAGGCCTACCCTCGAGACCCTCTATACGTTTATCATATTTCACAAAAGAGCCCTCAGTAAAAGTTTCTATTTGACCATATATACACATGTTTTGAGAAGGGTCAAGGGAACAAAGAAGAAGAGCAAAAACTTCTAAGGTATGGAATATGATATATGTGAGATAATTCTTTAAAATTAAAAACAGTGGGTCAAAGTTGTGTGTCAAGTCACCATTTTACTTCCAGAGATCTGCATCACCTGACCTTCTTCAAAATTAGTGGGCTAGGGTTCAGATCAAGTAATCAATCAACAAAGTACGGGAGCCTGAGTAACAAGAGACCACGAGAGAGCTTACAGACTTGAGCACCCTCCTCCCAAAGCCCCCGTCTCCCCATGTGTAAAAGGGTGGCAATCATGCCTCCTCACTTACCTCCTGGGGGGTTATCAGAATGAGTCAAAATTTCAAGTAGTGTAAATTCCAATCATCAATATCAACTAAATCTCAGATTCTTAGGTCTCTCGCATAAAGATACTGACACACGGGTGAGTGACTAACAAACCGCAAAAGCTGCCCTGGTGAGCTCTGGCTCTGGGGCACACAAAACATGTCCACACCTTCAAAAGCCATTTAGTGTAGTCACAAATGTGTGCTTTGGGGAAAGTTCTCAGGATATTAATGGCTCCAGCCATTGCCCTGCCTTCCCCTTCTCCTCCAGTCCTCATGCCCTATTTAAAAAGAAAAAAATACGATGGCTCCTTGTAGAAAGAATGCTAAGTTTTCCTAATAAGATAAATGAACTGAGGATATTAGAATAGTAGTTGTTACTATCTTCAAATAGGTCACATTTCCCATGCACATTTTCAGAAAGATTTGGGTGTGCGTTTTCAAAAGGAAGCCCTAAATTCTGCAGAATTGGTATCCTGTTGCTTCCTCACAAAATTAAATTAACATAAGATGAAAGCCTTGCAATTTCCAGAAATGCTGAAGAAGCCAAAATTTAGCTCTATTATAATGGTTTTGAAGTTGTGGGTTTGAATTTTATATAACACAACGGCAACTTTACATTCTTTTAACTTTTGGAACTGGTTTTTCAAATAAAAGCAAGATTCTGGTAAAACTTATTTTAAATTCTCTCTAAATGAGACCAGTTAATTCCCAGCAGTCTACTCTTATTATTACACATGAGGGATTTTTAATCTAAGCATTAAATACTCATACAGCACTTACTGTAATCCAAGGGAGGAAAAAACAGGAAACAGCAAATTTACAGAGCACAACTATATAAAAATCCACTTATAAAGAAAATTATGGCAAAAATTATAGTTGATCTGTTAGGATCGAGATTTTCTCCCCCCTCTTTTCCCATCAAATTCTGATAATTTTATACATAGAGACACACAGAGAAGACATTATAAAAAATAAAAGTCAATTAAATCAAACTTTAAAGACCCCTTACATGTGCCCTAAAGCGTGGTCTTCCCATCAGTCACTCTCCATAGACATTCATCTCTAGTTTGATATGCAAAACGTGGGTACAAATCTTTTCTAACCTCTTCACTTTGCATAATGCAAGTGCAAACTGCCATGCTGCTGTACGGGTTAGCAATTAAAATTGGACCTGGAAACTGTATAATGACAGGCTCCTTCTGAAGCAGCAAGTAGCTCTCCCAGAAGTTGAAACCTTTCAAGTCCCATGGAAAGCAGTCTGGGAAATGCTTCAGGAAGTTGAAGGACCATAAACCCTGCTCAAATAGGAGCAACAGCAGCTGCCTTCACATCCAATAATCAAAGCTCAACTTCTCACCCCAGCACCCTCAGGAGGAAAGAAGCCAGGCTGTTCCATGCCCACACTGAGCAGACAATGCTGGGCGCCCAATTAGGGTGCGGTTATCAAGCAGCAGCGTCTCCTGGGCCTGGTATTTCAGATCAGTGACCTGCTGTGATTACACAGCAGCTCTTTGTATGTTCCAGAAAACCTCCTCAGGAAATATTCCCAAAGTAAGGGCACACACCAACTAACTCTTAGCACCACGTTTGCCGACTTGCTGATTAACTGTGAAAAAAAAAAACCTACTTCAAAAGTGAAAACTCCCTATTATCCTGAAGGTTCCCAATGCATACACTGTGCCTGTTTGCTACCTCTTAGTAAAGGACAAAAATACTTTCAAACAATTGTAACTGGCTTTGACAGAAGCGCAGGCATCCATTGCTCCGAACTTACTGCCACCAGCAATGGAGTCCAGTTGACTGAGAAGCTAAGGCACACGAGAATGTTGGAGGCGGCCACGCAGGAGAGGACACCACGACTGAACACAAATTGCACGCAGCACGTAACCCACTATCAACAGATACAGAGTACTTACTGCCACAAACAGCATGCAGTACATGGAGAATGAGGAATGGCCTGAGTAAAAGGACAATCTAGAAAAGAAAGAAAAGAAAAGTTAATTTTCTCTCCTAGAAGTAGAGGATATTCTTGATTCATAAATCTCCCTACCTCCCCAGTGCACACAGCTCCCTCCCTTCACCTTTAGGAATTAGAAGGGTGGGTAGAGTGGCAGTTAGGACAGGAATATTAGAGTCCTAGGAGGGTCTGAGGTCCAATTTCTATACAGTAACATGTTATTGAAGCTTTCAGGATGGGTAATGAGTCATTGAGAACCAACTTGCCAAGCATTTCTAAAGTAGTACTTGACAAGCCATAACTAGCATAAATGGCCTGACTTTATTACATATAAATTTATGTGACCATGATTTAAGTTTTATTTTCTACTTGAAGGGTTTGTCCCTGAATAACAGTAATACTTCCTTTGGAACACTCAAAAGTTGACTACTTTCAAAAAATAAATAGCAATTTTTAAAATTTAATATTTTAGCATTTTAAGTGGGCACACATCTTGGCTTAGATTTCCCTCCAGATTAAGTGCTTTGTTTGACATTTATTAACATTGTATTCTGACAGTCCTGTACCAGATGAATCACCTCTTTCAATATTATATTCTATAAACATCTGAGTACCATCATCCTACCTAAAAATGACGGAATGCTTGCAAAATTTAATTTTACGGCACTTTGGAAAAAGAGAGAGCTCACTAACACTCATGATCTAAGTTCTGCTTACATAGTATTAGCCACTGATGCAGAAAAGGCAAGCACGTTGATGCAGTAAAAGTATGCCGTGCAAAAAATGTATCATGCAAATAATTAGAATGTTTCTCCTGACTGCTTTCCCTACGTATGAATAAGAACAAAAGAGGAACAGGCTCTTCAGTATTTGACTTATTACGCCCTGCTTGGTTCAAAAGGAATTTGGTTCACTGGATTCAGAGAGGAGAAAAGACTCCTAAAACACATCAGAAAGTCTGTGCATGTTTAGCAAGTGACGGTAGGTGGGAGAGTGGAGATTTCTTAAGCATATATTGACGACGATTCTACCAAGAATTGTGATAGTCTTTTTTGTAACCAGATACATTCCTATGAAAGAGAATATTCTAACTCCTTGTGCCAACCAGGAATCACATAATTAAACCTGATAGTTATTCTGGGTTTCATCTGTGTAAAACAAGAAAAATAAATCACTTTCAGCCATACCAACTATTAGGCCGTAGAGAATTGATCCATACAAATCCGTATTTTAAATCAGATAATTAGAGCAGAGTTCTGTACATATTTTCTAGTTAGTTTCAGAAGTTATATTGAAGAGCCTACAAGTTAATAAAAGCCAGTTTCAAGGACTGTCAAATCCCATCAAGCCAACATGAGCATGATGATAGAAATGTTCTCAAAGCCAAGTAGGTTTCAACTAAAACCATGTTCAGAGTATTCATGGCACACTGTGCCACAAAATCATAAATTCCAAATTCATGTAATAATTTTGAACAGCTCTAACGCAGTCACAGGGTAATTTCATTACTTGAAAACAAAATGCTTTCAGTTTTTTATTTGAATACAGAAACAGGTATTTTATTCAGCAGAGAATCCGCCAAGGAAGTCTGGCTCCGACTTGGACAGACAGGGATTAAAAATGTAAAGGGAGAACTCTACTCAACCTCAATCTCTAAATCTTCACCCACAGTAAGTTATCAAACAGGTCATGGTAATATGGACTTTTATTTCTATTAAAAAGAAATCAGAATAAAACACCAAAAACATAACTTCAAATTATTTTCATATTCCATACAAATCTAACTCTTTATTGGAGTCTCTAGGAAACATAGCTCTTAAGAGCATCTTATTATGTCCATAATTAACAAATGAACAAATAATTGTATGGATAGTTTAATAAAATCCAAAGAGTCATTGAAATGCAGTATTTTCATCATGACCTGAACCAAAATGTTTAAGATTTTGGCCTTGACCTAAGAACCTTGCCCTGTTCTTAGATTTTAACCAATCCTAGACTACCATCTCAATTCATTATAGCCCCTCTGATGAAGGCAGACCGATTCTAACAATTTAAGCCAGCTTTCCATCAAAACTTAGGAAAGTCTTTTCAGAAACAAAATTTACAGAGATAAAAATGTATTCTGAAATCTACCTGTTTTCACTAACTCTGGGGCATGGTCTATTAAACAATGAGCAAGTAGACTCGTCTTGACTATATAACTTACTGTGAATGGGATTCTATTCCCCAGTGGCAAATTTAGGTTTGTTTTTTTTTCCCTTACATTTGTCAGCCAGGGCATCCCTTTCTCCTGGCAGAGCTCGTGAAACTCGGCCTGAACCACACAGCCATCCACCCACCCCCTACAGTGTCTGTGAGTTCCCACTCCTCAATTCCTCATCCTTCCGTCTCTATTCCAACATCCACATCAAGATAACTAAATCCAGCCGTTATCAGTCATCAGAGGTAATCAACTCACATAAAGTCTTTCTTAATTTTTTAAAATGGAATTTACTAATAAGTATTTTGGTGCTCATAGGGAGGTTAAATCACAAATAAACGACATCTTGCTGCTCTTCCCCTACCACCCAACTTTATTCCCCTTTTCCTCCCCACAGTTAAAAAGCACAAAACAGTTACAACTTTAGCTATTCTTTTTAGTTTGAAAATGTCTTTCCTTTGCATTCATTCTTGAATGATGGTTTTCCTGAGTATAGAATTCTAGGTTGATGATTTTCTCCTCATCCCTTTGAGGATATCATTATACTATCTTCTGGCTTCTACTTTCACTGTTAAGATATAGGCCATCTGTCTGCCATCCCTTTCTGAGTTATCTGTCTTTTCTCTGTAATCACTCCCTCTCCCCGACAAAGTCTTCAATATTCTGCAGTTTCACTATCACGTATTCCTTTTATTTATCTGATTTAGTATTCATTGGCTTCCTACATCTGAGGATTTGTATACTTCACCAATTTTGAATAGGTCTCAGTCATTATATCTTTGAATATTGTGTATCCTCCATCCTATTATCTTTTTGTGGGATTCTGATTCAACATGTTAGATATTTTCATTTCTATCCCTCCATATCACTTAACTTTTCTTTTGTGTTTTTAATCTTGGTCTCTTCAGGCCTATCTTCCATTTCAGTCCTCCCTTTCATTGTGTCTAATCTACTTAATCAGTCTATTTTTTTATTTAAATTACTATATATGTTATTTATTGAAGATCTCTTTGGTTCTTTTTCAAATCTATCTGGTCAATTTTGATTCTCATCATCCGACATCATATTCTCAATCTCTTATGTACATCTATACAGTAGACATACTGATTTTATATTCTATATGGTATCTAACACTTGCAGTCTTTGAGAGTTTATGTAGTTTGTTGTATCTCCTCACTCTCACTTAGGGTAGCTTGTTTCAGTGTACGTTCATTAATATTAGAATATGAGCTCATGTCCTTGGGACTCTATCTGTGGGAAATCTTACAGGCCTTGGTTTAAAGACAGTTCTTCCACAGAAGATGTGTGTTCTCTTCTGCTGGGTTCACTACCAATCCACTTTAAACTTCTAAGGTTTTGTGTTTTTTTTAAGCCACATAGTATGAATTTTGGCCCAGAACAGTGTGAGTGCGGTATTGTGGTTAAGAATTCTTTCGATAGTGCTTCCTGGGAGGATGTTGCCCTTTGGGAAGTCCTTACATTATCCATGGGCCTTTCACCTGTCTTTTTACTCTGCTCTGGCCTCAGCCTTTACCTCCTGTGCCCATGTTCAGAGCCTATCAAAACTCAGGCTCTAGGCTACCAGGAATTGGCACGTACTTTCAGGGCACACATGAGATCTATAGCACTAACTGATCTCAGCCTCATAAAAATTCCTTTACTCTCCTGCCAGCTCAGCTATTTATTTAAGAGACTTATATGTGTTTTAAGACATATTTTAATACATAATACATACAAACATGTGCATATGTGTATGAGTAAAATATTATCCAGCACGTTTAGTTGAACTGTATCAGTAAGCATTTCTAGTCCTCCATGTTGCCATAAATGGAAGCAGGCTTTTTTTAAACAGGACTGATAAAATGTTATCTAAAATCAGTTGCTTTACTAGGAGACAAAAGAGTTTGGCACATTTTCTTAATTATAAAGTGGCCAGTGTTCACAGATGTTTCCAATTATTGCTATTCCACCCAGTACTCACTGGGCATGCCAAAGTTGGATCTGCTGCAAATTAGAAGAACTTCCTTTTTTCTCCTAAAAATCATCCTGAAATTGATTCCTAAAGCATTCCAGGGCAGAAAGGTTGTCAAAAGACTGTTAACGATTAAAAGCCACTGAGTACCTTCTATGTGGACGTACTCAATGCACAGTCTTCCCACTCTTTACAAAAACCCCTATGGTAGGGACTGTCAATTCTATTTTACATATAGAGAAATAGAACCTCCCAGAGGTTCAGTAACTTGCTCGAAAGTCACATCTCTTTGAGGCTCAAATCTTAGTCTTCCCAACTCTTTCCCATCATGCCATGATTCCACTCCTGTGAATGGCAGGCAAACCCAGCAGCAACGTTAATTCTGCCATATCTGGGCAGGAAGCACCCGTCAGAAAGGAGTCACAGCTTATACATGGCAACACGTGTGAATGAAAGAGACAAAGAAGAACTTAGACAATCTGTGAAAAAACAAATGTTGTCAATGTGTAATCAGTCATTTTAAAAGAATACTAATTTGTCCTTTGTACACTCTAAAGCCCAAATAAAAGGAAGTCAAACTGCAATATGAGGCATTTTCTCCAAATTTTATTTCCTGATTTTAAAGTTTACACAACAGCAAATTAACTTGAAGGACATAAGTTTCCCTTATTGTGATAATCTTTAAATATGGACTGATCTCTAAAAAAGTTAAGATATGTCACATACAAATGCACATATGAACAATGACCTTTAGTGAACAGTTTCCCAAGTATTAGTCCTACTTTATTTCAAAAGGATTTTTACAACAAATAACTATGCTAAATCCTTAAGCAATGAGACATCAG